ATTGCTAACTCGAGCCCTCCTGGCCGGCGTAGTATCTGCGGTTCTTATTTCTCATAGACTGGGTACCTCGTACCTTTATATAAGCTACATATAAGCAGCTCGAAACAGTATTTAGTCTTTTCCCTACTTATCTTCGTGTCGTGTCCTTTTTTCCCCCATTCTCCCAGCCTGTTTATATATTTTGTTATGCTGTTTTAGCTGAATTTGAGTTCGATATCCGTCCTCCGAACAAACAGGACGTTATACTGGCACAGAATATATCCATCAACTGCACTGCGCGACCCTCTGAACTCGTTCCCATGATTGTCTGGAAGTACTCCGATGAGAGTAAGCATTTTCCCTAGTTTCGTCTACCCTCCTCCCCACTCATAATCTGTCCATTTTCATCGCCCTTCAGATGGGTGCCCTTAGATGTTGGTGTCGGGTTGCATTTCCCCTGCACTTTATAACCTGTCTAGCGCCGTTTGGGCGCAGCCTCTATCGAAAGCGTATCAAATTCGCATGTCCGAAGCCTTATCGAACTAGATTAACCAATCACGGCACAAATATGTTTCCTGATCGGCTGCATGACGGGATTCAACCAATCACAGGCCAGCCTTTAGATAATTTGCCAGTTGGATTACGGTTCGTACCGCATTGCTAGGGGAGGGGGTGCTTCCAAGTTGCCCGCTAGAGACATACGTTTTCAGGTGCGAAAATGCAACCAGGAGGTCGAAGTCGGGAGTTTTATCGAAAGTGAAAGTAAACGCTGGAAATGACAGCGACTTTCGATGATTCCGTCGGCGACCATCAACGGGCCGATTTGCAGCTGCACGTCCGTTCGGGGCATATTTGCCCCCGCCTGGCCCTAACTTGGCCGATAAATGAAAGGACCCCTTGGGTCTTAAATATACAATTTATTTGTTAATTTAAATCTGCTGCGTAGATAACGCAAGCACTGGGCTCTTTCACAGGCACACAATACCAGGCAGGAGACACTTAGCGACAGCACTTGGTGTACAAAGAAGAACAAGACGAACATTATTGTTGGTGTTCTTAAAGAACTTTGCATCTAGAAGCAGAAAAATAGCCAAAGGTTAACGGGCGGTAACAGTTGGCGACAGTTGGACTCAGAATTATAGGCAAGTATGACAATTAGACAGGATTATTTAGGGGGTTTTGACAGATTTGCTTAATTTATTTGATCCAATTTTGAAAAAAACTCGCGGCGTCCGTGGGAGTCGAACCCGCGCAGCAGGGAAGGCTTTTACGCGAAGCCAACACTCCAACGATTTGAGCTACGACCCCACGCCCCCTGCGCCGTGAATTTAATCGATTTTACCAGCCCAACTTTACCGCTCGTATGGAATCCACCATTACGAAACAGTAAGCTGACTGCCCAAGCAGGATTTCCTAAGCAATCAGTGTAGAATCCACCAGAGTAACTATTAGGCTGGCTTAATTATTTAGGGGGTTTTGACAGATCTTCTTAGAGAGAACTTATACAGTACCAAGTGAAAAACCGCGCCCCTAGCCCCCTTTTAGGCAACTTTGTTTTTCATCTCTTCTCTTCACAAGGTACCGGAGATCTGAAGGAGCTGTCGAGCCTCACGGAACGCACTGACGGACGTATCTACCAGGAGGAGAATGGCACCCTGGTAATCTCGCAGGTGGAAGAGTCCGACCCGCGAAAATTCCTTTGCTTCCTCACCCCGAAGGAGTCATCCACAGCCACCCCGATCAGCGTTGCCGTCAATCTCGAGGTTCATGGTAGGTATCTGTGGTGTAATAATTGCAGCCCCCCACACACACACTGAGAACAACCAGTAGTATTTCTTTGTTTTTCCCAACTTCCCCCTCGCTCATACCATAGGGACACTTAAGTTTTATCGTCGTAGACAGTAGACAAAATCTTTTTTGAATCCGGTACGTTTTATCGTGTACGGGACTCCCTACTGTCTCAGGCGCTAGTGGCCACTGGCGAAGCCAGGGCTGGTTTTGACTGCGTCCAGTCATGTCTGAGAGAGAATGAGACAGTGGTGGCAGCTGCTTAAGTGGAATTGCGGA